GTGGGGCTCCATCCCTGCTGTCTCTGTTTGAGGTTCTCTGCCCTGCCCCAGCACATTTGTGGGGCTCCGTCCCTGCTGTCTCTGCTGGGCTGCTGGCCCTCCTGCCAATAGGCTCCCGGGCTCTCTGCTCCAGAAGCATTCATGGTCCCACCAGACCATGAATGTTGCCAGACCAGAGAGTACCAGTTTTCAGAGGTTCAACCTGTACTTTAACAGCTAGAGAACAGTCAGAAGTGAAATACTGGGCATTAGATCTGGATTATGGCACCCTATTAAGATCTAAGGTCTGGGCTCTAAATACTAATACCTTTTTTCCTTTGCTAATAGGAAGATCCTTACTGTTGGCTGCAAACCTTTATACATTGAAGATGGGAATCTGATTTACGCTAGTAGCTGCGTATATCCTGGCAGCAGTTAGCACACCAGGAATAGATGTATTATTATTATCATTATTTATTATAATATTTAGAGGACTCAAATGACTCTAAAGGCCCATTAAGGTAAGCACTGTGCAACACCTAACAAATCAATGCTGCTGTAATCAATGCAGTAGGCATCAGTTTAGCGGGCCTAGTGAAAATCCACTAAATCAATTGCAGAGTAGTCTCTGGTCGATTCTGGTAATCCACCACTCTTAAAAGAGTATGGGATGTTGATGGGCAAGTGTCTCCCATCAACACAGCATGGTGTAGACAACATGCTGAGTCATCTGAAGCTAGATAAACTTCAGTTATATTATTAATGTACCTGGAGTATTGTAATTTAGGTCAACTTATGCAGTAGTATAGACAAGTTAGTCAAAAGGTGGTCAGAAAGGTGCTGATGCTGAGCATCTCTCTGACAGCTCCCATTGATGAGGCTCTATAAATTAAAAATTTATAATTAAATTTATAAATTAAAGTTGTTGGTTTTTTGTTTTGTAAAAATTTATAATTAAATTTATAAATTAAATTTATAAATTAAAATTGTTGGGTTTTTTTTTTTTTTTTACATAACCTGCGAGGGAAAGTAGACAATGTTTGTTCCTGAAAGGCAACAGTCCACACTGGTATGCTAAGATGCAAGCTCCAACTCCTCCTTTCAGTCAGAATGAGTATGACCCAATTTTCTCTTTCTACACCCAATTTCCACATCTACAGAGGAAGACTTACATCTCAAGGAGAGGTAGTAGAGCTTAGTAGATAACACACAGAAGGGGGACTCCAGAGCTCCAGAGATATGGGTTCTATTCATCACTCTACTATTGACCTCCTGTGTGATTTGGGACAAGTTATTTAATATCTTAGACTCCCTGTCTATAAAATGGAGATGACAACACCTCTTTTTGTAAAGCATTTTGAGCTTGACTGATGCAAAACTACGTGGAAGATGCAAAACTCCATGTACGAATTATTAACCTCTCCTCAGAGTTAAATATCAGAGTACTATGTCTTGATTGTGATGTGGGAAGTTTACAATACTAATATCTGTATATACAATTATTATTTATTACATTATTACACTATTTGCCATCTTTTTGAGTACCTAGAAAGCCTTTCTCACAGCACATAAGAACATCATCCCACCCTGAAGAATGTGCAGTTTAAATTCAACCTGACATGCACAAGTGGCTTATAACCATACAGTTGGGGAAGGGACAGGAAAGACAAGGTAACAAGAGTGTCATGGTGTGGTTACTCAGCAAGGCCTGCACGCAAACAACTGGTCAGATTGTACTATGGCTATTAGCAAGGGAATCTTCATAATACTGCTGGATGGTGGGCCAGTACACATTACCCTCCCTGTAGGATAGCTGGGCAAATAGGGGCTAAGAAATGATTTGCAAAAGCCTACAAGTCAGTTGCAGAGCTGGCTTGAGAGCTTGGGTCTGCCTGATTCACGGTCCAGTGCTCATTCCACTAGCCAGTGCTACCACCACTAGCTTTTATCCTGTATTCTCATGACTCATCCCTTGCTTCCAATGGTATCAGCTACCTAAGCACTGGGAATGCATCTAGACTGGCAAGATTTTGCACAAAAGGGCCAGTGTAGACAGACAAGTACATTTCTTGCACAAGAAAGCCAGATGGCTAAACTGGCCATCGGAGCTTTCTTGCGCAAGAGAGCATCTACACTGGGCACAGATGCTTTTGCGCAAAAGCAAATCTTTTGCGCAAAGGCACATTCCAGTATAGACGCTCTCTTGTGTAAATACTTTTCACGGAAAAACTTTTCCATTAAAAGTATTTTGCGAAATCATGCCAGTCTAGACACAGCCTTAGAGAATGTCTGTCTACACAGCAAAGTTATTTCAAGATAACAGCCCTTATTTCGAAATAACTTTACTAGCATCTACACAGCCAAACTGCTATTTCGAAATTAATTCGAAATAGCGGAGCGCTTATTTCGACTTTGGTAAACCACATTCTACAAGGAATAATGGACAAATTCGAAATAGCTATTTCGAAGTAAGTGCTGTGTAGACACTTATTTCAAAATAGGGGGCCTCCAGCCTTCCCACGGTGCCCTCGTGGCCATTCCAGCCTCAACCAAGAACACTTCTCTCCCTCCCACTCCCCCCGGAGCCCTTAAAGGGGTAGACTCTGGCCACAGTGCCTGTGCCAGCACTCACTGCCCCTGACCCAGAGACCCCACAA